TAATTTGCATGAAAAAGATAGAAGTTAACTTTGAATTAATTAATTAACTAATTAAAATTATTTTTGTATTAATAGTATTAAAATAAATATTAACTTTTATAATTAAGTATTTATTACACTTTTAATATGTACTCTTAGAGTATTTATTAAATGGGTTTGTCTATACTATGCCTTTAAGACTTAATTATTAGATAACAATTATCAATTTTTTTCTTAAAAGATGTGAGATTTTAAATTAAAAAAAAAAATTATGATCTCAATTTCACAACGAACCAATAAAAAATTAACATATGGCATTTATAACTAAAATAAAAGTCAATTTTACTATTTTAAAATAAAAACACTATAATAATTATATAATTGTTGCTTCTTATCTTGTGCATTAAGGGTATAAAATAGATAAACCCCTATTAAATAAACCTTTTAAAAGAGACAATATTTTTTCACATTATTTTTTAACTTATAATTACAAATAGAGTTTTTCTCACATGTACTTTTAAAAAAGTAATTAATGTATCTTTTTATTATTAAGTTACATAGAAAAAATAAAGTTTGATTTAAATTTTAACAACTAATTAATTAAATTAAGACACGTGATATTGATACTAAAACTAATATTAATTTTTTTTGTTTTTTTATATAAATTAATAGTAAAAAATATTAATTATAACCTTAACTTATACATTAAAAATACAAATTAAAAAAATTCTTACAAATATAACAATGTCATTAAGACATGAAAATAAAAAAATAACGGGTTATCCAAATTTAATAGTAACACATCATACGTAACTAATACAAGTATTGAAAAAAAGTACAATTTTGAATTTTGAAAAACGGAAGAAGTACTTAAAAGAGTCCAAAGAAATGTTCAAACGTGAAAGTTAGGCCACTAAAATTGGCCTTTTATCGTTTATTTTTTAAAGTAATTTTTTTTAATTTGTATATTAAATGTATTTTTTGTAATTAATTTATATAAAAAATTATAAAAATTAATTTTTATTTTAATATTATTAATGTATTAATATTTTTAATTAATTAATTAATTAAATTAAAATTAATATTTATACCTTCTATAAAATTATAATCATAAAAAATACATTAATTACCTCTTAATATATATAGAAAACTATTTCAAGTATTTATTTTTCATTAATCCAAGTAAATAAATGCAATTCATAAACTTAAAATACCTTTATAATTGAGTGTTCATCTCATCCACGTAAAAGGACTTCTCGTCCTTATAAAATGATTTTCCTATTATAACTTGGAGGTGTGAGTTAAAATGTTACCAAATGCAAATGGTTAAAAAAGGAAAAACAATGTAATTTATAAACCAGGCAGGGTGGTCCCCACAGTTACCACTTGTCTTGCAGGTCCAGTCTGAACGCGCAATTCACATTAGAGACAAATTTGCCTGTACATGCACGTCCCCTCCAGTGGTTTATTGTGGCGCGTTACTGTCAGACCCATGTGGTTGCCTTTTATATTTTTATATTATATTTTTTAAAAACACTTTATACTTTTTTGAAAAATTAAATAATATAATAATTAATTAAAATAATATATATGTAAGAGCAGTGCCAGGGGCACTCGCCTCCTGCACTCTCCGGCCAACACCCCCCCTTTCATTGGGCCACGTAAGGTTGTTTCAGCTCTGAAGTGCAACCTCTTGCCTAAAATAACGTGGCCCAACGAAAGGAGGAGTGTTGGCCGGAGAGTGCAGGAGGCGAGTGCCCCTAGCACTGCTTTATATGTAATATTAATAATTTAAAATGCGGTAATATCTACGTCACCTCATCGTTCTCTGCTCTCTATATATAGGCGCCATTCGTTACTGCAGGGCCAAACCTCTGCACCTCAAATCTCATCATTTTCACAGGCTATGAACTAAAGGGCGGAGATATAGAGGTAGTTTAGTTCATGGAAGAAACAGTCATGTTGCCCCGGAGTAGAAGAAACTCAACTTCTCTAATTCGGTTATTATACTGCTGCACAAAATCAGTACCAGAAACAGAACCAGAACCAGCAGCAAAAGTTGGGAACTTGGCGAACACAAAGAAAAAGCCCGGCGGATGGAAAGCCATGCCTTTCATCTTAGGTTTTTCATTTTTCTTCTCTACATTTCTTGTTCTTGTGTGTGAATTATATATATATAAGTTTCAGCTTCATCTGCTACTAACAACTCAAGTTTAAACTGTTAAAAGGATTTTGGCTTAATAAATTGTTAGGTCAGTTGATGACTGGGGCACACATCGTAAGATTTACAGCCAAGGTGTTTGTTTAATTACTTAAGGAGAAGTTGTGTTGTGGTGATGCAGGAAATGAGACATTTGAGAGGTTAGCCACTTTTGGGTTATTGGCAAACTTTACGGTGTATTTGATGAGAGAGTTTCACATGACTCCGGTTTCTGCTTCGAACGTTATAAGCATTTGGTTTGGTACAAGTAGTTTTGCTCCTTTGGTGGGTGCTTTTATCTCTGATGCCTATGTAGGGAGGTTCAAAACCATTGCTTTTGCATCCTTTGCATCTCTTCTGGTAAGCCCCTTTGTCCTTTTTCACTCAATTTTTTTGTACCATTCATTGACGTCTTTTTTGTCATACTGTCTAGAATGGACAAACTGATAATATTGACAACATTATTAATTATGAAGTATAATTAATGATTAATTTTACAAATTATTAATATAAAAATGATGATATAAAAGATAATTTTAAGATAATTTTTATATATTATTAAATAAATAAATAAATTTAATATTATAAATTTTAAATAAATAAATTATTTATTTATTTAAATAATATATAAAATTATTTTAAAAATAATATTAAAAATTATCTTTAAATCATCTTCCTACTGTTAATGAGTAGATCAACCGATTGGATTGTTTTGCCTGCTGCATACTTTTTCGTCAAAGTGCAATTTTTGTCTTTCGCTTTGAAAACTGGCGGAGGTGTAAATTCCTCCTACTTATGGTAGTGAAGTAAATTATTATTTAAAAAATATTAATATAATTTTTCACATTAAATTTTTATTTTTAAAAAATTAATTTAAATCTAACTATTATTATTAAATTTTATTAAATTATTATTTTTAAAATTTAACAAAACATTAATAATAATTGTTAAATTTAATATAATAAATTATGAGTTTTTATGATAATTTATTTTAACACAATAATTTTAAATAGATAATATTACTATATTTACCTTAAAAAACACCAAAAAGCACTTCATAGAAATTTGTACTTGGTTTAATTTCAGTTCTTACAATAAATAAATAATAAAGATACTGTTTTAGAAATTACCTCTGACAAACACTTCGATATTTTTTTGTTGACGTATGTGTTTAAGTTTAATCATTGTGGAAAATTGTTGAACAGGGAATGCTAACTTTGACGATGGTTGCTTGGCATCCAGCCCTTCACCCCCTACAATGCAGACCTGGAGATCATCCTCAGCCCGGTCAATGCGTAGGTCCAAATGCAACTCAACTGGGGTTCTTGCTAACAGGACTAGGACTTTTATCAATTGGTGGAGGTGGGATTAGGCCCTGCAGCATCCCATTTGGGGTTGATCAATTTGATGCCACTACTGATGAAGGGATTAGAGGGATCAACAGCTTTTTCAATTGGTACTACATGACATTTACAGTGGTGCTCTTGATCAGTTTGACTCTAATTGTTTATATTCAAGACTCTATTAGCTGGGTTCTGGGGTTTGGGATACCTACTGTTCTCATGGCATGCTCAATTGTCCTGTTTCTTATTGGGACAAGAATTTATGTCCATGTTAAGCCAAAAGGAAGTATATTGTCAGGCATTGTGCAGGTACTTGTTGCTGCATATAAAAAGAGAAAACTTAAGCTTCCTGTGGAGGGAGAGGAAAATGGAGTTTACTATGATCCTCCATTAATGAAAGAGATTGTATTGTCAAAACTACCCCTCACCAACAAATTCAGGTATTATTAATTTTTGACATCATTAGGCTTATTGATACCTTTTATTTCTTTTTGTTAATAAGGGTATTCAGGCTTTTATACTAACTAATCTCCGCTACTTGCAATCTGTCTTATCCATAGACACTAGGTATATTGGTACTTTTTACTTTGAGGTGAAATAGTTCTTAAGAGGTAACTGATTAATTTTATCAGGTTCTTAAACAAAGCTGCAGTGGTTATGGAGGACGATCTACAACCAGATGTTTCTCGTGATAAATGGAGGCTGTCCAGCATTCAAGAGGTAGAAGAGGTCAAATGCATTATCAAAATCATCCCCATATGGGCCTCCGGTATTGTAAGTTTCACCTCTATGGTGCAGCAGGGTACATTCACAGTCTCACAAGCCTTGAAAATGGACAGGCACCTCGGCCCTAAGTTCCAAATCCCAGCCGGTTCCATAACGATTATATCCATGATCACAATAGGACTCTGGCTGCCAGTCTATGACAGAATCATCGTCCCATCCCTCCAAAGAATCACCAAAAAAGAAGGCGGAATCACAGTTTTGCAGAGAATAGGAGTTGGCATTTTCTTTTCCATTCTAGCAATGATTGTTGCAGGGGTGATTGAAAGGAAGAGAAAACTTACAGCATTGCTGCTCCCAAACCCACTTGGAATTGCACCAATGTCTGTCATGTGGCTAGCTCCACAGCTTATCTTGATGGGGTTCTGTGAGGCATTTTATATGATTGGGCTGATAGAATTATTCAATAAGGAGTTTCCTGAGCATATGAGAAGTATTGCCAATTCCCTTATCTCTTGCTCCTTTGGCGGGGCAAGCTACTTGAGCAGCTTGGTGGTGAATGTTGTGCATGGAGTTACCGGAGGGCATGGCCGGCCGGATTGGTTGGCCAATGATATCAATACCGGAAGTTTGGATTATTTCTACTACCTCTTAGCAGGCATGGGCGTTGTTAATTTCGTTTATTTTGTGTATTTTGCATGTCGGTTTCGTTACAAGGGTACTGTGCAACCAACAGAGAAAACGTCCCCTGATGTTGAGCTCAGCTCCGTCAGACAGTGAAGAGAATCAGGAGAAATAATGTTGGCTGTAGCTTTGTCGATCTCAGAAACAAAAAGACATAATTAGAATAGCTTCTTTGCATTCAATTTTATCACTTTGTTTTGTAAATTTTTATTAACTTAAAAATAATGTTATTTAGCCATATAAAAGTAGAAGAAAATTAATATAACTCACTCATAATCTCTTACAAACTTACAAATTTAAATTGATTAATTTTATTTAATGAAATATATGAATTAATATTTAACTTCAATTAAAAAAATAAATGAATTAATATATATTTAAATATTTAATTAATAAATATTAATATTATAAATAATTTACTTATTTAAAATCACAAACCATATAACTATTTAGAGATTTTTCATATGAGAAAGATTTTTTTTTGGTTTCCAAGAGGTTGCGCCTCAAAGCTTTAAAGAAGCTTACGTGGCCCAATAAAAGGGAAAGTGTTGGCCGAAGAGTGCAAAAAGCGAGTGCCCCTAGCACTGCACTCTTTAATAAAAGGCTAAGGAATGGTTAGCTCTGTGCTCACTGCGTGGCTGCGTTCATATGAGAAAGATTCGTGTGCGTGTATGTATACATATATATATATATATATATAAAGTCAAATTTGTTTTAATAAGTGTTGAAGTAAATTAATAAAATGAAAAATCATAAGAAAAAAGCAATTTCAATATTTAGATTTTGTTTGATAATACTGTTTATAATAGTTTTTACAAAAAAAATTTATAATTTATACGTTCGATGAATTACCTATTCCTATTTTTTTTAAGTGTATACAAAAGTTATTTTATTTAAAACTAATAAAATTTTCAAATTAATTTTTATATATTATATATTAAATTATTAATTAATTTAATTTTAAATAATAATATATATAATTGAGTAATTTTACAATAAATAACTATTTTAAAATATAATTATCTAATACTAAAATACTTTTTATAATAATAAAACACAACATTTTTAACAACCACAATTATAAAAAGAACACCAGTATTATTAAACTAAGTCTTAGATGATTCTAGAAATGGACACCGTTTTGTATAACAACTTGGGCTTTATTAGATTAATTAAGTGTATTGGGCCCAATTTAACTTTTGGGCCAGTACCTTGATTTTTGTTCATCAATTTTACTTGGCCACACCTTCTTTCATCTTTGTTGCTGGCAATGTTTGCGACGATAGGACCGACATCTTCTATGATATATTTTAAAAATAAATAATTAATAAACAGAAAAAATATGGCAAAAGCAGAACAAAGGCTCTTCTTGGCAAAGTTAGTAATGATCCTACTGCCATTACTGTAACGCAAGCTCGATGATATTGGCAGTTACCGTTTTTGCCTACCAATTTGCTGTTTGGCTGTGCCAAAGTTGTCTCGTCTCGGTATGGTTGTATAGGTGCGAAAGTGCCCACCCCTAGTTGCGTTGATTTGATGAAATGAACGAAAGTGCGCAGATCTTAAAGTACAACTCTTTTTTTAATGTGATTAATATGTGATTTATGGATGCAATTTTAGATTTTTCACAGGTTATGAATTATGAATGTGTTAATTGAGATAAAAAGTAATTTAAAATTAATTTAAGATGTTAATCATAAACAAAAAAAAAAAAAAGGAGGGGAAATAGGAGCCATTTCTTTATTAAATTAAGACTCTTTCTCTTTCTTCACTTTTTCTTCGTTAATTCATCATAGCTCTGTTCGAAAGCCACCGGAAGTGGAGGTAGTGAAGGCAATGACACTTGAATCCTTTTAATTAATGGATGAAATCCACCGATTGATCTATCACCTCCATTCACCTGTCGCCTTTCAGGTTTGAGCATTCAATTCATTCTTCGGATTAATATTGATTTAAAGAGATTACCAATTAATTTATGTTTACTGAAGTAAA